GGGGTAGGTAGGTAGGTAGGTAGGTGCTAAATACAAATATGTAAGATATACCTACTAAGTACGAGCTCCTGGGCCCTGGCTCCTGTAAAGCCGCTTATACGCTACGATACGATGTGATACTTGCTCTGAGATGTTCCAGGTCGTGGTTTTGGATTTGGGTTCGGGCATTTGAGTAATGATGTATGTAAGCTTGATATTATATTGAGGAATGTTTGTTGTAGTTTGGTATAAGGTATGTATGTGGGTAGGGAGGTAGGTAGGTGTAAGTAAAAGTATTAGTAGAGTAAGCTAAGCGAGCAAGCGTTTGTCGCGAGGAAGGAAGATGTCTTGTCTTGGGAATAGGAGAGGGGGGTGATGGGTTCGAGTCGTAGGTAGGGTATAGTGAATACGGTCCTATGAATTATGTGTTTTGTTGGGTTTTGGCACTGCACTGTCTAGGTTAGCACTGGGTAGGTACTATAGTGCGGGAGTGATTACTGTACTGGTACGGAGTATACACTAGCTATGGCAAGAGGGGAAGGTAATGTTTCTTGGCTTGGTACAGAGCTTTACCTTACTTCCCAGCTCTATTCGCGACTTTTCCGGTAGGTAACTTGATAAGTGCAAGCGGAGTATGGTGTATGGTGTATGGTATGGTACTGCAATTGGCTCTGATACTATATAGTAATTTCTCGGACTTTTTAGCTGATTAAGTAGTTGCGAGATATGAGATATAGAGTAGAGCCGCTGATCTGTCGATCGCCGATGCGTTACATCATGATTTAATACTCGCCTCAAGAATATCAATCAAATTCCTTGACTCGTGAGCGAAGCCGGTTTTTCTTACCTGATATGATTATATATCGCAACGCACAGATGTGCAATTATGAGGTAAGTGAAATTTCTTGATATTTGAGAACATTCAACTGCCAACCCAAGCCTTCTCCTGGAATTGGCCCCAAGACATAAATAAGTACATGGTCTTCAAAATAAAAACCAGTATCGCCAGAACCGGTACTTGGCAACCTTTGCCGTCCCGCACCGCCAGTATCAATACAGTACACGTGTCGTTATTTCTTCCCCTTGTTATATGTACAGCCCCTTTAATTGTCATCAGCATGATGAATGATAGACCTCCCCTTATCATCCTTCCCCGGCTTCCACATGCTCAATATACTACCACGTCTCGTATCTCTCCGGCTCGCGGGGCTCTTCTCAGCAGGCACAGGAGCCAGGTCGTCTTCAACCACAACCACATCGTCGTGATGTAAGACATCCTTGCCGTCTTTATCTTTGCCGCTGCTCCATAAGCTCAGGATGCTGCCCCGACGATCGGTGCCGGCGCTCGAGGAGGTGCTGGATTCGGTGCGTTTCTTGGACACGCCGGGCGCGTCGAGTCCGTTCCAGACGCTCGAGCGGCGCCGCTCCCGGCTGGCCCAGCTGTCTTTCTCGTCGGTCGTTTGTGTCCAGTCGTGCTTTTCGTCTTCCGGGTCCACTTCGTTTGAGCCGCGGGATGTGGTGGATTTGTTGGTGTCGTAGCGGTCTGGAAAGGGTTGTTAGAGACGTGTTTGGGAGTATGTAGATATGTCATTGGGTATTGACTTACTAAGAGTGTTGACATCGAAAGTGATGCTGTTGGTCTGTGGATGAGACATGGTGGGCGACTGTTATTGATTTGATTTGGTGTGTATGGTGGGTGTATGGGGTGTGGCTTTGTAGCAGATGAAGAATATGGTATGCTTTCAAAAAAGCAAGTACTTGATTCAGGACAGGCTCCTTTATACCTGTGGCCACCCAGCCCAGCCCTACCCTACCCTACCCTACCTTATCTTTGTTCCCGTTCATACTTTGGGCATGCAGTCAGCCAAGCCCCCAGACTCCCACATACCCCGCAGATCCTCTCAACAAAACGTCATCCTACTTCTACACCATTTAGTCAAAGCAGCCACCGCAACCAATCATCGCGCGTAAATCATCTATAGAAGGAAGCTACTTTGCCTAGCCAGATCCTTAGCCTTCCCCGAACGCTACTCGGGGAAGTGGCCAGTGCTCCATGCTGGTCGGTACTACCTGAGCTGCATGGACTATCTCTCGATCGGCGGGCATTGATTGGGTGATATCGTCTTGCCATGCATGCCCACTCGACGCATCCAGTGCTCATTCGACGGGGCTGAGCATTGTTTGGAGTCTTGGCCGGTACTTGGCGGTGCGATTACAGTAGCATCACATGGGAAGGTTATACTGCAGCGTCTGGGTGGTTGATCCAAAGAGCAGAGCCAGATCCCTCACGTGGAGGACTCCCCTGGCGTCGTGGTGCTTGTTTGCCCTGTCGGTGATAGCTGAAGCTGGAGGATGTGGCTTGGAGCCGGGAATGCAACAAAGGATGACCGAGAAGCACGGCAACTATAAAACAATTAATCCCAGATATTATAGATAGAAGTTGTTATCGGAAACAATGATATGATGCATCTCTAATTATGTGAAATGGACATTGGTATACTGCAGCAATAAAACGGATGGAATTAATAAGATGCGATGCCACATCTGATGGGAATTTGCCGGGTCTGGTCCTTTTAGGCTTTTACTAGCGAAACAAGGCAGGATGACCCGCGTTCTGAAGTACGCTGCAGCTGCTACTCCACTTATAGTGCGGGGAATCCTGAGGATACCCCGGCTTGAGTGGTGTGGGGAACATTATTAATAATACCACGATATGGTGCGATGCGATTATCTCGTGAAATGTTACTCCATGCTGTACCGTTAATAGAAATGTCTTGGTTAGTTTTATGATCGATTATTATTGCAATTACAGGATACCGTGGTAAATCACTTCGTACTAGCTAGTAAAAGGTGGTTATGATTGGTTGTTATCCTTAATGTCAATCTCAAAGTGGAAGTAGGGGACGCGAAGAGTAATGACCTCTTCGCTGACTAAGCTACGCTAAATCACATGACCTGCGATACAGCCCTTGTCCCAATAATTATACTATTACGGTATGCTAGACAACTTTTTCAAGCGGGATCCACCTCCTGACACTTGTGGCTGTGCACCGTTGCCAAGGTACCGGGACGAGTATCATCGTGGAGCGATGTCTACTCCAGTGTGCCGGTGGCCGAGTCCCAAACCCACACTATCTTATCGAGTCATCGTCCGATGCCAATACCAGTTGCATTAAGTCGGGCGAGAAGGCTCCTGAGTTGACCAAGCCACTGTTGCTCCAGAGCCGCACCATATTATCATCCGATGCTGATGCTAATAGCCTCGAATCAGGCGAGAAGGCTACTGAGTTGACTGAGCCGTTATGCCCCTCGAGAGTTTGCTGTAGCACACCAGTAGCTGCGTCCCATACCCGCACTGTCTTATCGTATGACCCTGATGCTAGAAGTGTCAAGTCTGGCGAGAAGGATACTGAGCTGATATCGTTGCTATGCCCCTTGAGTGTCTGCTGTAGCACGCCAGTAGCCGCGTCCCAGAGCCACACTTCGTTATTCGATATCGATGCTAGTATCTTCGAGTCAGGCGAGAAAGCTACTAACTTGACCATATTATTGTGCCCTTTAAGTGTCTGCTGCAGCGCGCCAGTAGCCGCGTCCCAGAGCTGCACTGTCTTGTTAAATGATGCCGAAGCTAGTAGCCTCGAGTCTGGCGAGAAAGCTACTAAGTAGAACAAGCCACTATGCCCTCTAAGCGTCTGGTGCAGTGCACCAGTGGCCACATCCCAGAGCTGTACCGTCTTATCAAATGCCGAAGCTAGTAGCCTCGAGTCTGGCGAGAAGGCTACTTGAGTAGACCTGGTCGCTGTGCCCTTTGAGCGTCTGCTGCAGTGC